CCTCCCACCATCGCGGACGAGTCCGGAAACGACTCCGCATGGTGTGGCAGCGGCCGGCACCCCACCCGCCAGGCGTCGGCGCTTGTCGGTGCGTGCCTCCAACCATCGCGGGTGAGTCCGGGAACGGCTCCGTGCGGTGTGGCAGCGGCCGGCACCCCTCCCACCTCCATCCAGGCGCGGGCGATTGCCGGTGCGCACCTCCCTCCGTCGCGGGCGAGTCCAGGAACGGCTCGCGCGCGGTGTGGCAGCGGACTACGTCCCTCCCACCTCCATCCAGGCGCGGGCGATTGCCGGTGCACGTCTCCATCCATCGCGGGCGAGTCCGGGAATGGCTCCGCGCGGTGTGGCGACGGCCGGCACCCCCTCTCCCTACCCAGGTGTGAACATTGCCGGTGCACGCCTTCCTCCGCTGCGGGCGAAGTCTGGGAATGGCTCTGTGGTTTGGCGGCGGCCGGTACTCCCCTTCGTCTAGGCGTGGACGCTTGGCGATGCACGCCTCCCACCAACACGTGCGAGTCCAAGAACGGCTCCATGCAGAGTGGCGACAGCCGACACCCCCTCTATCTGTCCAGGCGTAGGCGCTTGCTGCTGCGCGCCTCCCACCGTCGCGGGCAAGTCCGGTAACGGCTTCGTGTGGTGTGGCGGTGGCCGGCACCCCTACTCTCTCCATCGAGACGTGGACGCTTGCTGGTGCGCGCCTCCCGCTGTCGTGGCCGAGTCTAGAAATGGCTTCCACGCGGTGTGGCGGCGGCCGGCCCCTCCCCCATGCAGCTACCCTCCGGTACAAGGCTCGAGCAAAAGCTTTGCCAAGTTCCTGCTTGGCCGATGATGATTATGTTTTGGCGTCATTCACCTCCTTGGAGGCATCGTCGAAGGCTCCTGTGCGTTGGTGTGGTAGTCTTTTCATTCCGTTGGTGTATTTGTGGTCCTACCACTTTTCGCCTTGGTGCTGAGGCGTCTTCCTATTGTTGTTGTTGTTTTTTCCTCCTCAATGTTTGTAAATCATATAACGAGCCGATTAGGGGTTCTATCAATATGTATTCAAGTGAGGAATAATCCCCTAGCGACATTCAAAAAGCAAAAAAACAGCGTCCAGGTCAGCCAATCAAGGAGCCAAGCTGAACATGCCCAGTTGCCCACTAGCACCAAGTTGGTGCACATGCACTAATATTGTCCATGCAGCCCGAGGCACGGTGGCCCGACATGAAGCACACAATTTTGGCCCGGACCAAGCACGGCATGGCCCGATGGTCAGCGGGCCAGGGCCGGCCCAGCCCGAGGGAGCAGGCCGTGCCTGGACCGCTGCTCAGGGCCGTGGGGTGGTACGGCACGGCCCACCCTTCAACAGATGGCCCGACAACGGCCCGGCCACCCCCCTCCACCTCCTCAGTTCTCCTCTGCTCCCCAAGGCCTAGCGCCCACACGGCCCACATGCTCCCCGACGTCCCTGCCTCCCCCCTCATATATAAGCCGGCACGCCGTGGCGGCTCTCCCTCACCCTGAACCCTAGCTCATTTCATCCCACCACGCCTCGTCTCGCCTCACTCTCGTGGTATCGCCCTCGCCGTCTTGGGCTCTAGGCTCCGTCCTCCCCGACTCCGGTGAGGTGACCTCGACGATCTGCCTGCCGTCGGCGAGCAGCTCCCTACTCCTCCTACTTGATCCCCTCCCTCTCCGCTTCTCCCTCCTCCCTGTCCCTATCTCCCCTCTAGATCTCGGTGATTATGTGAGTTCGTGTCCCCATCTGCCCCTCCTCCGCCTCTCGCCGTCCTTCTAATCGGTGTGTCATCTTCTCTGGGTGGCCCTCGTTTTCTTTGGCATCGAGCTTCGGTTGCGCAGGTACAACCCTAACCCTAACCCTAACTCTAACCCTCCTCTTCTTCCATTGATGAATGATGATTGATCTATTTTGATATGTTCTTTTCCTTCTCCTCCATCTCTTTGCGCAGGTCGGTAGCCGATGCGTCATCCTCTAGCTGTGGCATAGAGCGACCAAGGCGGCCCCACGCACCGTTGAGGAACGGTGCTGGAGAGCCCTCCGTGGTCGAGGGTGCCATGGCTGGTGCTGATGACGAGATCGTCTGGCCGCTCTCCGGCAACGATGATTTGATCGCGGCAGGTCTAGCCCCTGAGGACGACGACGACACCCATGAGGACGCTGCTGCCTTGTTCGGTAACCATGTTGGTAGCGGCTCTACTGCTCCGATCGATCTGGATGGTGGCGGTGGTGAAGAGGCGACGACGACTAGAACCCCGGTCTGCTCCAATGGCTCAACTCCATCTGTTGTTGGTACTGGTACCTCTTCTAGACCTGGTGTTGGTAAGCATAAATCTACTGTGTGGGTTGATTTTAATGAGATCTATGAGACTATGAATGGTAGGAAAATTTGCATTAAAGCTACCTATAAAATATCTAAGCATACTTTGTCTGCTAGATCTAATGCTGGCACTAGGCACTTGAAGAGGCACCAGAAATCTTGTATGCAGAAAACTGATCAAGCTGCTAGGGTTCAATCTAGGCTTGCTTACAATACTGATGGTTCTATGCATAACTGGGACTATAAACCTGATGTTGCTAGATCTGAATTGTATCGCTTGATTGCTAGGCTTGATTTGTCATTAGGTATTGGTGAGACAGGGGTCTGAGAGGATTACATTGTCCGTGCTCATAACCCTAGGTTTGTTAAAGTATCTAGACAGACCACCACTAGAGATCTGAGTAAACTGTTTACTGAACGTCGTAATATGCTTAAGAATTCTGTGTTGTCTGCTGCTTCATCTGTTGCTCTAACATCAGATATTTGGTTTGGTAATGCTAAGGAGGATTACATTAGTGTTGTTGCTCATTTTATTAGTGCTGGTTGGAAGTTACAGAAAAATGTTATTGGGCTTAGGTTGATTGAGGTGAAACATACTGATGAAAATATTGCTGAAAGAGTTGCTTGTGTGGTTGTGGAGTTTGGTCTCATTGATAAGGTTTTCTATATAACTCTAGACAATGCTTCTTCTAATGTTAAGGCTATGAAAACCATGACACCTATGTTTGCTGGTTATTTGGGTTCTGATCCTACACCTGATCCTGTTGATCATTCTAAGCGTAAGTACAGTCTTGTGCATCAACGTTGTGCTTGTCATATCATTAATCTGATTGTAAAATCTGGTTTAAAGAGGTTCAAACCTTACACAGAAGATTTTAAAACTGCTATTAACTTCTTAAATTTCTCTAATCAAAGAATTGCTATGTTTAAGAACTACTGTACTGCTCAGGGTATTAGACCTAGATAGTTTGGCTGAGATATGGATGTTAGATAGAATGCTACATATCTTATGCTTAAACATTTGGTTTCATATAAGTATATTTTTTCTGTGTTCATTAATTCCAATTATGGCTCTGAATTGTTGTCTGCAAGGCATTGGTATATAGCTGAAAAGATATTAGAGTTTCTGGACTATTTTATGACTCCACTGTTGTTCTTTCTAGTGTTTATTATCCAACTAGTCCACTTATCCTACACTATCTACTAGAAATTGCTTTTCATTTACATGCAAGTGAAAAAGATCAAAATCTAATTGCTGTTGTATATCCTATGAAGCTTAAATTTCTTAAATACTGACAGTATATACCTCTGTTATATTTATTTGCATTCATTCTTGATACTAGAACTAAGATGAGAGATTTATTTAGAGTCTAGAATTACTTAAAGAGAGCACTGATTGTGATTATACTTCATATTATGCTGATGTAAAAACTAAAATTTATAAGTTATTTAACAAATATGAGAGAAAGTTTGGTGTAGCTAGGAGTCAAAGGGTTGCACAGCCTGCAATCCATATAGGTAAGAGAAAACAGGTATGTGGAAGAATCTTTGGAGGCCCTGGATCTGTTGTTGGTCCTTCCCCTGCTTGTGCCCCCACTTTATCTTCATCTGCTTCTACTGTCACTGCATAGGAGGATGATTTTGATTTACTTCTCTGGTGGCATGACCACAAACTAACATATCCAATCCTATCTATAATGGCTAGAGATATTATGTATGTTCCTGTTTGTACTGTCTCTTTGGAATCATGTTTCAACTTGATAGAAAGGATAATTGAAGAGCAGCGACACCGCCTCTTGCCTGAAACTATGGAGATGCTGGCCTACATAAAGGATTGGGAGATGAGAGAAAGCAGATTACAACATGTTGTTGACAACCAAGAGCTGGAGGACTCCTTCAAGAATCTGTACCTCGATAAAGATGCAAATGGGGCTGCTGGTACTGCTGGTTCATCTAGGGCTGGGGCTAATTCATCTGGGGCTGCTGGTAATTAGTGTTGAGAGAGGAGAGAGTGCCATGTTAATCTGTTATCTCCATTTTGTATCTATTATTTGTGACTGTGATAGTGTGACTTGAAACCTTTGAACAATGATGGAAGACTTATTAAGAGCTGTGATGTATTCTTTTTCCCTTTCTAGGGTTTCTCACAAGGGTGAGTTTTATCTATAAAAGTTTTTAATGAGGCAGTATTGCATAAACAGCTCAATTATTTTAATTCTCTTGTCTCCTTCGATAGCTTTTGTTAGAATTGAGAATCTGTGACTCTGATCAGTTTATTACTTGTGAATGTGAAATACTGAAATGCGAATGAATTGTGAAATGTGATTGTGAAAATAGAGAAGTGTTGGATGAGAGAAGCAGTTTGAGGTGTTTTAATGGCATCGGACTGTGGGCTGACACGACCCGCGGATTTGGCCGTGCTTACCAGGCCAGCACAGCACGGATTTTGGCTCGTAGGCCCGTGCTTGGCCGAAGGCCAGGCACGAGATCCAGAGGGGCACGGCACGGGAGGCACGGCGTGCCGTGCCGTTCCAACCCCCGCGGGCCGTGCTTGGCCCAGGCCCAGGCCGGCCTGGCCCGTTGGCCAACTATTGCACACAAACACGCAACACACGGGTGGAAAAAGGGTAACTTTCGTATGATTTATGTTTGCATTTTTTTTGCAATGACTGCTTGTGTCATTTACATGTTACACGGTCGAGTCAGTAAACTGGTCAGTAATGGGACAGTAAACAGTAATGTATGTACCTCTGTCGCGGCCGCTAAATATCCAACCAACCAGCTGTATATCCGTAATCCATCCGCCCCCACACGGCCCCACCGGTCTGGTCCGGCGGCCGCCTGCCACTTTCCGTTGCCCCGCCAGCCCACCAGCTGCCCCACGCGGCGCGGCCTTTTGCGGCCGGCACGAACGTTGCCGCTCACCAGCCGCCTCCGGTTGGTCCGCCCCGCCCCGCGCCGCGCCCCAGCCAGCCAGCCTGCCTCATTGCTTGGATCGCCCGCCCGGCTGTTCCGCGTCCGCCGACGCCGTGTCGAGATGTGTCCTCGTGCATGTCGCCGATGACGACGATGCGGGCGTCGTCGCCATGCCCCCGCGGCCGCGGCCGCGGCCGATTCCGTGGCGAAGGTGAGGCCGAGGGTGATGAGCGCCGTGACGACGACCAGGCACGACGCGCCGCCGAACACGCCGCTCCGGGCCACGTAGCAGTCGCCGTCCATCCACCCGCGCCCGTACCTCTGCCCGTGGTTCATGCTCGCGGCTGTCGCCAGCAGGATCACGGCCACCGCGAAGCTCAGCCTGCATCATCCGCGCAAACAACACCGGCCGAGACGAAATTCAGTTCACTCCTGGCTCCTGTCGCTGGAATCACGTAGCGAGCAACAGTGTTTGTATGTATTATTCGCCCGCCATCGCCAAGGTCATTTTTTTTATACGTACCATGAGAGGACCAAGAGGGAGACGAACGCGGCGCGCCCTCTGGTGGCGGAGCTCTTCCTGGGCTTGCCGGCGCACACGGTGGTCACCGTCGCCGTGGTGCCCACGAGCTGCGCCACGAAGAGGAAGGCGATGGCGGCCACGCCCAGCTCGAAGGCGGAGCTCTTGGGCAGCGAGCAGAGGCTCCCGTCCAGCTTCATGTCCTTCTCCTGCGCACACCGACACGACAGACAGAAAAACGAACGAACCCCCTCAGTCAGATCCGGGAACGCGGGTTTCTCGCCGAATTACGAGACGAAGAGCGCGGAGGAGGAAGGGGGCACCGTACCTTGACCTTGCGGAATTCCGCGGCGAGCGAGCAGGAGAAGGCGATGACGCTGAGGAACACGACGATGCCGCAGATGGCGGCGCGGCAGGACAGCCCGCTGCTCCCCTTCTCCATCGCGCGAGCTCAATCGCTCCGTGCTTGCCCACACCTAATTCGACTAATAATTCCGCTCTCGGCTGTCTGCTGCGGCCTCTGTCTCGTTGGAAGCACTAGCGCAAATAATTGCTCGTGTCATCTGAGCCTATCTCTACGTATAAATGGAGGAATTTCCACGAACAGGTCACCGTGAGACGGCGAATACTAGGAGCGGCGTGCGGAAGATGATAGAAGAGGCGCGAGAGAGAGAGAGAGAGAGAGAGAGGCAGGGGAGATGAGGCCTGGCCTGGATGCTAAACAATCCACATGGACACGTCCACTCGTAGAGTAGTTTAGCTATTTTCTGGTGGCGTAATCGAAGGCGAGGACTGGAGGAGGAAGAAGAAGAGGGAATCGGTAAAGGAGAGGCTCCGAATTCGGATCCCGGCATGCTGATCGAGTGGCTGGACGAATTGACCGGTTGGGTGGCGGACTGGCGGCTTAGCTTGGTGAGCCAGATAGGACCCGTTTGGGGAAGGTGAGAGCTAGGAAAGTCTGCACGGAAAGAATCATGCGTCATCGTGGGCTCACCGATGCTGCACTTGTTTATTTGTGCCAAAAATGCTTGATGCAATTTTTTAGCGTCGCCTTTTTTTTAAGCCACCCGTGTCGTGTCATGATCGAGTCGCCCATAACGGGCAGGTAACACATGAATTAGTGGCGAAAGCCGAATGAAACTTGAGAAAGACCGGGAGAGGACGGCAGGAGCAAAGAGCAAGTAGAATTGCGGGGAATCGGCATTCGGCAGCCCCTTTGCACCTTTCAGCTCTCTCTTTCTCTCTTTGCCGTTGTCTTTGCGTCCGCGGGGAGGCAGGCGCGACTGCGACGTCGGGTGGCGCCGTGGCGCCGTCCCCCAGGCCATTCTCGGCGGTTGGGCACGGGCTAGGCCCGCGCGCCCCCAGTAGATGCGGGGCGCCGATGCATGCAAGGTCCTGCTCCCTGTGCTTGGGCCCCGCTACGAGGTGGGACGCCGCCGGCCTCCTCGTTGGACTTCGCCGCGTGCGGATTACGGAAGTGCGCACCTGACCCGGCAACTGGCTGCTGCTGCATTCTCACCAGCGGTCCGACCGAATCCGCCGTTTCTTTCGCCCCGGCCCGCCGACCGCGCACCGCACGTCACGTCGTCGGGAGGAACGCCGCGCGCACCGCTTTCCGTGTCGCTCATCTCCGATCCTCCGCCGTGCCGTTGACCGCTCCTAGTGGCGGCCTGCTGTCTGGCGGGCGGCGCGAGAGGATCGCACGCGGTGCGGAATGATTGCAGTTGCACGAAGGGACGATGACGCCCGGTTCGCTTGGACTCATGAGCCATATTTTTTTAAGTCAATAAATATTATTTTTCTTATAACAAATTAATTAATAGTATTTCAATCATGACTTATCAGTCATACGAACAGAGCAAATCTCCACCAACGGTTGACACCAGTTGACCGTCGAATCATGCTGGGCTGGTGCTTATCCTCAGCAGCTATCCTCGCAGCACATTCCTTTCCATATAGCCCGCCAAAGAAATCGTCGCCCGGCAGGCCCGCCCGCCGCCATTGCATCGCTCGGTCTCCAAGGATGGACCATACGTGCATACCCCGGTTGAACATTCGTCCCCGGAGGATTTTGATCAGGAAGGGGAGTGGATACTTCCGTCTCTGTTGGTCGACGTAGTGGCGCGTAGTGCCGGTCTATTCGCGATGTTAAGACCGCGGAATCGTACGGCGACATGTCTGCCGCAAGTAGCATGATCCTGATATATTACTGAAAGTGTCCTGTTTGTGAAAAGTTTGTGCACGTTTGTGGTTTCGGTTTATTCAGCGAAGCAAAGCATCTGTAAACAAACTATTATCCGGTTGGCAGTGATGCCTTTTCCGGTACCTACGGACAAGAATAATGATGCTTTCTGCAACGTACCATCCGTGTGGGCTGGGCCAGTTTGGTTTATAAGATATGGCTGAAAGTACTGTTGATTGATTTGGTATGAGAGAAAAATATTATTCATTGGCTGATAAGTCATGGCTTATAAACCAAATACGATCAAATGAACAGACTGATGGTTGCCTTGTGTCGCAGCGTTGGTCAACGTCCGGATTGCAGGAGCAGCTTCAAGATTTTTTATATCCTTTCTAACAGTTGAAAATAAAGATTTTATAATAGAAACCCTCAACAACTCTTTTTTATTTATTATCTAAATATAATTATAATCTATTTTAGATTTCTCGATAGCCAAAGACAGACAACGAGAATAACTCTAGAGTGCGCACAAGATATGAAAAATTATTTTAGAGTAAAATATATAGAAAACGATTTTTGTGCACATGACTCTTCAAATGATAATTTAGAGAGTGACTTTTAGAAAAACTTTTGAAGATGCTCTTAACAACAAATATATACTAAATCATATATTGATCCTGTTTCTACATATATATATATATATATGTACCAAATATTCAATCTATACCTATATCTATATATCTTTATCCTTATCTATCTCTATCTTATCTCTATCACTACATATTATCAAAGAGTAAATAGTTTCTTTCAACCCGCTTTTCTCTAGTCCTAAAACATCCATATGCCCTCTATATCCTGGCCGTATATGATGCATACTCACAGACCTGTGTTTATATGAGTTAGAAATACCTAGTTTAATAATTATATGGAACCCAATTCCAAGAAGTACTAATAGTCTCGTTGCGGCACACGGCACCTAGTAGCATTAAAAATGAAGTGTTTTTTTCGTCTCGCTTTTTAACTTTCCAAACCGCTCTCACGTTGTCAGTATTCTATATATGACCCGAATTCATGAATTATGCTCATACAAGAGTTAGAACAACTCGGGCAAAGAGTCTGGTTATAAGATATATTTGGTCTATGCAATGCATGAACACATTTGCTAATATAATATTAAAGAGTGAAGGGTTTATTCTATCTTTTTTTACTTCATAAAATGCCACTACATCCTTCGTGTCCCACATGTAACCTCTACTCATGACCTGTGCTCACGCAAGTTAGAACGACAGGCGTCCAGCGATAGTATGGAATCCAATTCTAAGACGTATTGAGTATCCTTGCAACGCACAGATATGTTTGCTAATATCTTTTTTAAGAATTACACAGTACAACACAGACACCTATATTAAAGAGCGACAATTTCTCCTTCTATCTTTTTTTACTTTCCAAAATGCCCTCACGTCATCTGTGTGCCGTATGTGACCCGGGCTCATAACCCATACTTCATACTCCCTCTGTCCCATATGTGACAAAATATTTTGGTTAAACTTGAGATGTTTTGACTCTTCAATAATGTTGTAATGACTTATAATTTAAAATAGATAGATTATTTAAATTTAGTTATAATAAATAGCGTGTCCGTGCGTTGCTACGGGATAACTAATAATTTATACTAAAAACATATGGATCGCACGATAAGATAACAATACTGTTAAATTAAATACCAACGCTAAAGTGACATTTAATCTAAAAATCAAAGTTTATGAATTTAACACAGTCATGGAGTGCGCGGTGTCGCAGGCTCACAAACTCTAGAGCTTCCAGAGATTGGGTCGAATCTAACCTAGAGCCTCGGAACCCTGCATCTTTTTCTGGACGGGCTTCACTTCGGATGCGCCGGTAGCAATATCAACGATCTTCAGTCGATGGACCAAGTCGTATGGATCCTCATACAATGGCTCAGACATGTAGATTTTGTTCTTCTTGTACTTGGATACACTTGTTCCACTGAAACTTTCATTGAAATGTTTAGACACAAACAGTGTCTGATCACCGATGTCCCTCATCCTAGACCTCTCCGGCGTACGATCGTGGATGTTGCATTTGTAGATCGCGTTGCTGTAGGTGAAGCTCTGTGTCTCGTGGAACGTGCTCACCATGGCACCCACAATGTGTAGCTCACCGTTTGATTCCAGGTAGCTGCGGTGGCAGAGCTCCGCAGGTGGCGACAGCGATGGCAGCAGCGTCGCGGTTGGAGTAGCACCGGCGGCGTTGCTGCTGCAGACGAGATTTCTCTAGTGCAGTCGATCGCCAAGAACTTGTCTTGGCAGAGGACGATGGACCCCACGGAGAACTCCAGTTTGGTGTCGAGCAACGTCCATGCGCTATCGACTCTAACCCGGCAGAACGCGACATCCGTGGAGCACCCAAGCATGGCCATGGCCATGACCACGGCCACGCACTCGTGGCCGGTGGCGTCAGGCGGCGCCGAGAGCATGATCTCACGGAAGAACACGTCCCTCATGTCTTCTAGCTTGATGGCTCTGCCTGCGGCATCCGCGTCCCCTTAACAGTTGGTGGGATGGAGGAACCACCGGCCGTGGACCCTAGACATGCGTTTCGATGAGGACGCCGCCGCGATGTGTTCGCCTACTAATGGGAGCTCAACGCGGGGGGCACGGGCAGCGGCGAATGGATTCAGCAGCGTCACGGACGCCGCCGTCCCATGAGCACCACCCACCCACATGAGGAGTCGCACGCCACCTTGCCGCGCACGTCGAGCAGCGTCTTGGACAAGACCTTCTTCTCCGGGACGCAGTAGAAGCCGACGCGGTCCGAGTCGGGGTTGAACGGGAGCAGCAGGGCGGCCCGAAGGTCGCGAATGGGACGGCGGTGTGTCATGGGGAGCAAGCGGATTGGAAGGACGCTCGCGTCGTGGCCTAACGCGAGACGCTGCCCGATGGACTCGAGGAGATCCTCGGCAGGTCGGATCTCTAGTCAGAGAGAGGTAGGGACATTCTCTTGAGACTGGGAGGCTGAGCCATGGAAGACAGATGACATCAACTATGGTTCACGCAAGAAACAGCAAGTGAGTGCGATGGGACACGTGAGCGTGAAACCAAATGAAAGGAGGAAAAAGTTGTCCCTTTTGCAAATGTAAAGGGGGAGTAATTAAATGTAGACAGATTTGGCAAGGTTCTCAGAAATGAAAAGTGGTTCCTTTTGTCTTAATTCTCTTTCCTTCTGTGTTAATTTTCTTT